ATTGTCTGAAATCAATGGTTTTTTTATTGGGATGTTGGCACAAACGGTCATAGAGTTCTAGGGAATTACTAGGGAGAAAAATGTTTTTCATGTTACCAATTTTATTTTGTGTGCTGCATTTTATGGGTAATTTCATGGTTACTTTGTTAGGAAAAGTGCATATTATCAGGATTAATGTTTTTTAAACAAAATTATATGCAGAAAAGTGTATTTTCAGCAATCTTTAGTGAAAGATTACAGTTTTTGGTGGTCACAGGTACCTAACCTCCTATTTCCCATAGGTTCAATATATCAACATTCATGTTTTTCACTTCCACGCCATTTTCTAGGAATGTTACTCCCATGAAAGTTAAGGATTAATTGTATTTCTGAGTGAGGCAAGCAGAAAATAGGGAGAATGGAATGATATATCTACAAGGTAAATAACATAGAAATGATGTGTAAGTGGGAGTTTAAATTTGACGCTTCTGCAATTTAACTATCATAGAAGACAAAAACAATTAAATAGAATGCAATAAGGATACAGGACATGAATCAGAAAATGTAATTGAGGTTGTAAAGGAAGAGAAATGATGAGTGTAAAGCAAAGGAAAATAGCTTTAAGAAGGACACAACAATAGAACCTTACTTTTAAAAAGAGATTGAAGTAAAGAGGGAGGATTTTGAACAATTTACTTAACAGGTGGGGTAACAGAAAAATCAGAAGAAGTAGACAAGTTGAAAAATAAATAAAAAGAATGGAAGAGAAATTAATGATTTAAATAATTCACAGAACTTGGGATATAGAAAGTAAACAAGAATGGATAGAAGAGCCTGTGGAAATAAAACAATAACACAATAATATAAACAAAACCAATTGCAAATATGGCATAATGATTCAAAAGAATGGAATAAAAATCCATAAATGTAATGTCAAAAAACACAAGTCTTGCAATGGATTTAATATTCCAATAAAATGAAAGAAAGTGGAAGAACAGATAAGAAATCAAACCCAGTAACCAGCTATATGCCAGAAACATATCTAAAAAGGAAAGACACATGTAAAATGATGAGAGTCTAAGGGAAAAATATATCAGGTGATTTTAAAAAAATGCCTCAGCCATACTATTCGAAAAAGCACAAATGGCAAGAAAGATGAAAGGGGAAAGTTGCATTGTGCTTAATGAAGTCATAGATGGTGAACTGATATTACTACCACACATAAATGATATAGCCTCCAAATTCATAAAGGAAAAGATGACAGAATGACCAGAAGAGAACAGCACAATAACTATAGGAGACTTTAATGTTTCTTTTTCAGAGATGTATAAATATATCAGAAAGATAAAAAAGGAAAATATGGAACTGAACAAACTATCAGAGTATAGAACTAATGTTCACAATAGGAACATTAAAGATATACATATCTCTCTGAACAAATGTCATCTTTACAGAAATAGAATGTGCTAGAGCACAGGAAAATTATAAATAAATGAAGGAAATGCTAAACATATACTGTAAAGACCATAATGCAATAAAAGTAATACAGTGAACACAAGCCAAAGTTAAAGACCTAAGTGAATACTTAAGAATAGAATTTTGAATAATGAGCATATCAAAAACACAAATCATAGAAATAGTTAATAACTGTTTGAAAAAAATGATGAGACATCATGCCAAAATTTCTGAAATGCAGTTAAAGCAGTCCTCATAAGGTAACATATTTTTCTGAAAATGGCCATAAACAAAATAAGAAAAAAAATGAATGACATTTTCAAAACTGAAATAATAATAATAATAAAACAAAAAAACAACCCACAGTTAAACAATTACAAAATAAGAACAAAGAGAAAATCTTGAAAATTTTAGGAGAAATTTTTTAGGTAAAATAAAAAACAAAAAGACTGTAGAAAGAAAGGATCTAATTGGAGAGAATTCCTTGCTAATGACTCAGACTAATTGAACCTAGACAATATAATGAAAATTTCTATGCTACTTAAATTAATTTATAGATTTAGGACTAACCAGATGAAACTACCAAAGGGATACTTTAAAGAATGAGACAAAAAAGAGAAAGGAACAGCATTTACTAAATGCCTACTATGTGCCAGGCACTGTGCTAAGTGATTTAGAAATATTACCTCATTTAACCCATAACAATCCTGTGAGATGATTATTGTTATCCTCATTTTATGACTGAAGAAACTGAGGCAGAGGTAAAATGACTTGCCCAGGAAAACACAGCCAGGAAATGTGTGACTTAAAAGAATAACAAAATTTATATTTATATTTACATAATTTATACAAAAAGCTTAGAATGTCTGGTAAAAAAAAACCCAGTATAAATCAAGGGAAGATAGCACTTTCAAACCTCAAGCCAGATAATGAAACAGTAATCATCAAAACTATTTGATACTAAACCCCATTTGGGGTTTTCTTGGCAAAGATTCTACAGTGGTTTGCCATTTCCTTCTCCATTTTATAGATGAGAAACTGAGACAAATAGGGTTAAGTGACTTGCCCATGGTCACACAGCTAGTGAGTGTCTGGGGCTAGATCTGAACTCAAAATAATGAGCCTTTCCAGTTCAAGCCCAGCACTCTATCCACTGTAGCAACCTTTGATACTAGACCTGAGCTTAAATCTGGCTCTGGACACTTACTAGCTGTGTTACCCTGTGAAAGTCACTTAATCTCTGTTTGCCTCCACCTTCCTCCACTATTATACCTCAGTGGGTATAATAACAGCCACCACCTCCCACGTTTGATGAAACCTGGAAAATTAAGATTTTAATGTCTGTATTTTGACTATAGAATGACAAACATATTTTGAAAACATATGTCTGATTGACATATTTTTCCATTTCCCTCTGATGTTTGGCAAGCCTCCATATTTGCTCTGGGGGAAAAAAAAATGAATAGACTGTTATCCAGACAGAGAGATTTAGGAGCTCATGTAAAAAGCTGAATTTGAGGGATTCTTTGGTCTGAAGAATTGACAAGATTGTAGTAAGAATTTGGAGCAAAAGCCTAGTAGAAGCAACAGTGCTCTCAGAGAGAGAGAGAGACATGAGGTAGCATGTACCAGGTAGACCAAGTCACTACCTCCAACTCCTAATCCTTTACCACCCTATCGCCTTAGAACCCCCTCTGCCCCAAGACTCTGTCCAGGGTCCACTTCTCTTCCCTCTCTACACTATTGCACTTGATGATCTCTTCAGCTTCCGTAGTTTCAATAAACATTTCTATGAAGATGACTCTCATATCTACTTTTCAAGCCCAAACCTCTCTCCCAATCTTGAGTTTTGCACCTCCAACTGTCTACTAGACATCTAGAAATAGACATCTCATAGATATCTTAAATTCAACAGGTCCAAAGCTGAACTCATGATCCTCACACAAACACCTTCCCCTCTTTCTTAGCTTCTCTACCACTGTTGGGGGTCCCATTATCCTCCCAGTCACCTAGGATCTACGCTAGGTATTAACTTCAACTCCTCACCCTCACTCCTCATACCCAATTAGTGGCCAAGTCTTAATGTTTCTACCTTTATAACACATGCTCCCTTCTCTCATCTGACACTGCCCCCACCCTGGTACAGGCCCTCATCACCTCATACCTGGACTGTTGCAATTGCCTTCTCGTTTGTCTCCTTGCCTCAAGTCTCTACTCCTTCCTAATTCATCCTCCATTGATCTGTTACAATGATCTTACTAAAGTGCAGGTCTGACCATATCACTCCCTGCCCTTCCCCAACATTCCACAAATTCTAGTGGCTCCCTGTTGCCTCCAGGATCAAATGCAAAATCCTTTGTTTGATTGTTAAAGTCACTCATAATTCTGTCCCTTCCTTCCTTTCCAGTTTTTTTACAATTTGCCTCCCTCCACATACTCTGCCATCCAGTGCTGCTTGTCTCCTTTCTGCTTTTGTCACATGACACTCCATCTCCAGACTCAAAGCATTTTCTTTGACTGTCCCCCATGCCTGGAATGCTCTCCCACCTGGTCTCCCCCTCCTGGCTTCCCCAGATAAAATCTCTACTTCTCTAAGAAGCCATTCTTGGTCCTCTTTAATCTTAGTGCCTTCCCCCTGTGATGACCCCTAATTTATCCGGTGTGTGACTTGTTTATATATGGCTGTTGTTGTTGTTTTCTGGGCATGCCCAACTCTTTGTGACCCCATGGACCATAGCATGCCAGTGCTGTCCATGAAGTTTTCTTGGTAAAGATACTGGAGTGGTTTGTCATTTCCTTCTCCAGTGGATTAAGGCAAATAGAGGTTAAGTGACCTGCCCAGCATCACACAGCTAGCAAGTGTCTGAAACCAAATTTGAACTCAGGTCTTCCTACCTCCATGCCCAGCTATCTATCCATTGAGCCACTCAGCTGCCCCTGTTCATTCATAGTTGTTTGCATTGTCTTCCTCCATTAGGCTGTGAGCTCCTTGAGAGCAGGGACTATCTTTTGCCACTCTTTGGACCCCTTAGTACTTAGCTAATGCCTAGCATGTAGTAGGTGCTTAATAAATGCTAGCTGACTGACTGATGAGACCACTCTGAGAAAGGCAGTAGTCAGGTGTCCAATAAGAATGCAACATGCCAATGAATTGGGCTGCTGCAGGATGGAATGGGTTCCCCTTCACTTGATGTCTTTAAGCAACAAGTGAATGACATGTGCCAGGTATTTTGCACAAGGGATTCTGGGTGGACCAACTGAAATTTAGTAATCTCGAGATTCCTGGCAATGGTAGCCCAAGGCTCTAAACACCAGCTCTAGAAAGCAACCCAACTGGCTGAAGACCAGATATCTCCCAGACAAAACAGTGGTAATGAAGGAGACGTCTCGGCCGATTATTTATAGTTCCCAATGCCAAGTCAAGTCCACAAGCTTTTATTAAGCACTAACTGTGCACTGGGTACTGTGCAATAGCCCTATTGGTTCAGGAGTATCATGCATGTATTATTCCTACAGTGAAAGCATCGATAATGCTGCCTCAGCCAACTTTGTTCCCTTCTCAACAGGACATCATGGCAGACAGCAGGCAACAGGACAAAAGACAATTTCCTTGGAGAGCTACAGACAAGGCTTTGAGAATTACTGATTGATTCCATCTACTGATAGGGAAACTTGCTGTATTGACACAATTTTATTCTAGAAAAATGATCAAATAACAACTCCAGTCTCAGTGACCTACTCAAATGTTCCCTCATTGTTGTAGAGTCTCCCAACCTTTGTTTTATAAAATGCTGACATGGAGAGTCTTTGGGGGTAGAAATTAGGTTTAATTTTTGTTTAATTAGCTATATCCTAAGAAGGTATACAAATATTAAAATCTGAAGCACAGAGCTATCAAATATTACTATCATCCTATCCCAGTTTAAATGTAAGCTTCTTGGGAGCAAGGATTGTTCTGTTTGTTCTTTGTGTATCCCCCTTACTAGCAAAATATCTGACATACAGCATTTAATAAATGCTTGTTGACTGAATGGTTGATTGCTATTCCATTGTACTTTAAAAAAATAAAATATGCAAAAAGCTTTCAGCCTTCTAAGCAACCCCTGTTACTGCCCTACAGTAAACTACATACACCCTGGGCTATAAAACATAACAGAAAACTATGTGCTCAACTTCTTTTATAGTTTCTTATTTTTCTTTCTCTTTTCTCTTCTTTTTCCATTTCCTGTGTCAGTGTTATTAACTCCCCTTGAACTACAGCTGAAGTGATCATTGTCACTTAATTTCCTAATTCCTAAAGGTTATGTTCTGGATTAGTGGACACACCCTCCCCCAGTGAGCTACAAATGGGCTCCATACAATGATGTTTTCATTGCTTAGGGACAATGGCTGTTACATGTTCTTTCCAGTAGGTATGGATGGGGTCATTTCTGCTGATGAGGCCTCTTTCTAATGAGCAACTTTGGATCCAGATTTTTACCTTAGTAGGCACTCAATAAATATTTGTTGATTGATTTACCAGATGGATGAACTGTTTTGGTCTTTGGCCCTCTTCCACAGGGATACCAGAGGTTCCACTTTTGAAAATATTTGTGAGGTTTCCAATAGTTTATCCTAGTGTCTCATGAGCTCTAGGGGAGACAAGCAATTTGTCCTTGTTATCTCAGTTGGGGCACAAAAATAGCAACCATTGGATCCTGGTCTGGGAGACCCTACGTTGCAGAGTTCTCTGGGCCACTGGCTAACAAGTCTAACAAGCAAGGTTTCCTAGGGAATGTTGTCCTACAGAAGTAAAATGCCACTTAGTCTAGATTGGCCGAGAATCAGAGTATATTTTTTCCCTCTCTTATTCTCTTAAAAATCATTTTAACTTCAACTTTAATAGTCACAAACCTCCCTAGACCTCGGTTTTCTTATCTATGAAATGAAAGGGTTGGAAGAGTTGGCTTCTGAAGTGACTTCCAACTCCAGGCCTATAATTCTAATAAGAAAGTAACACAGCATAGTTGTTAAATGGTCTGCCTCTGAATCAGAAAGATCTGGGTTCAAGTTCTGCCTTGGTCACATGCTGGTTCTGATCCTGGGCAAATCCCTTAGCCTTTCAGTGCTGCGGGCAATTCTCAAGAGGCAATAATAACTTTTCAAAAAAAAATTGTGACAAAGTTCATCTGGAAGAACAAAAGGTCAAGAATAACAAGGGAATCAATGAAAAAAATATGTGAAGGAAGGGGGCCTAGCAGTACCAGACCTTACTTTACAGAAAGGTTGCTGATCTGAAACAAGGGAAGAATTTTCTATCCTGAGAGTTTCTCCATACTTAGGAAATCAAGAATCTAGGCCAGTCCCCAAATCTCTAACTTTATACCTTTAAGTTTGCATCATATGTAGCTACTGGACCAAACATGCTTTGATCAGTTTGATTTGTTGATTATCTAATTGATCTATTTCTGTTCTAGAGAGGTTAGAAGTACAGTTTGAAATACAACAAAGTACAAGTTAATTAAAAATGCATGAGGCTTTTCAGGTTTTGTAAGGGTCCTGAAGTTGGGGCAGAAGTATTGCTGTAATAATACATGCCTCATTCTGGCTCCAACAACTCTCCCTCATTTTGACACTCCATAAATGTAAATTTTTGATGGCAATCAATACATATAAAAGCTATAGGCTGTAAAGACAATTAATTATAGGCTAAAAAAAAATAGAAAAATGGAAAAAAATAGAATGGATACGTTAGCCATTGGCTAAAGAGACCCTTCCCTCCATTCTCCCGAAAAGAGGGTTTGTAAACACAATAATGGTGGGACAAAGTTGCTTCCCACAACTCCACTACAGACCTAGGAGTGTCTCCCTAAAAACAAAACCATTCATTGGAAACATTGCTAATGGAGGATAAACTGTAATCTTGGAAACTGTAATAGAGTTGTCATGAGGAAGTGTTGTAATGACAGAACTTTGTGGTGACTCATGAAAGAATATTGGAAAAGGAGAGGGGGTTAGCCAGGAGCTGTCAGTGTTTATTCCTTGCTACCCAGGGGAGAGAGGGATGGGCTTTGCAGTCACTAGAAAGGCACACTCTGTAGTGGAAGAGAGATGATGTTCTTGGCTCTGTAACAGGCTGAGTGATAGATCTGACAAGAGCATTCTGCTCTCTTTGTTCTGATTTCATGCTCCCCAAACAACCTTCTGCTAAATAGATGAGTTTTCCGGGTACTGTCAAGGAGGGGAAGGTAATATCCACTTGAATATTCCCATCACCTGAAAGATAAATCCCTTCAATGTAAATGAATAAAGAGGCATTCCTGATTATAAACTGGACTTTTATAAATGGGGTTAGTTTGTATGAGCCAACAGGAGATGGACTGATTAAAGCAAATTACTGATCCTACAAAGCTAAGGATGTAGAGACTACAGTGACCCCAACAAGGTCTGACAGTCCCATGAGGCTCTGCCAGTCAGCCAATCAGCCTTCTCCCCCTCCTTCACTAAGTTCCTCTTTCTACCTTTCTTGATGCAGTGAGGTGGCACGATGGATAGAGCACCAAGGTTGGAGTCAGGAAGACCTGAGTTAAAATTAAGTTTCAGACCTTGGCAAGTCACTTAACCTCTATCTGCCTCAGTTTCTTTGACTATAAAATGGGGATAATAATATCATTTATCACCCAGAGTTGTTGTGAGAATAAAATGAGATAATGTTTATAAAGCACTTAGCACAGTACCTTGTGTACCGTAGACCCTTAAGAAATATTCATTTCCTTTCTTTCTTTATTTCCTCAAGTTCTCCCTTTCCCAAACATAAGCATTTCAAATGCAACACTAATGCACATTCCAATTGATGTGGATATTCTTTGAGGTACATTGCAAGACATAACAAGGTAAGATCCTCACACTTAGGGTCATTTTGCCGTGTATAAAGCTTTTATATTATAGCCCACATTGTGGCTGGGCACTCCAAAGTCAGTCATCCATCAAATTTTTTGTAAAAGAATGTCATGCCAAGGATTTGAACATAAAGACTTCTAAATTATAGAATTAATTTGCTATTCAAATCCCGATGTACCCTTCAGAGACAGACACACTGGTAAGGAGTGGGTTGGTGCTGCCTGCCCTACTCTTACATAACAGGAGTTGACAGTCTCTTCCCCTCTAAAAACGGCATATTTTCCTTACTAGCTGTGTGACCCTGGGGAAGTCACTTAACCCCAATTGCCTCACCAAAAAAAGAAACCAAACATATTTTCAACTCCCATTTCTATCCCTATTATCTGCTTAACTTTCAACTATTGCATAAGAAATCACTGAAAAATTGAAGGAACTGCACTCCCACTGTGGAGATTCTGGGCTGCCAAACCTGAATGCCAGCACGCCTGGATATCATGTGACACAGCTAGAGACAGGCTACCTGGTACATGGGCATTAATGGATAACATCATTAGACATTCCACCTTTGCTCACCATAATTTATATGTCAGTGGAGGCATAAACATGGTAACAGCTTCTCTTGCTGAACCTGCTCATGATAGATCTGGCATCTTACACATGTTTGTTCTGACTCTGGCAACATGAACATCCCCTGGCCCCTATGCTGAGCAAAAATAAATAAATAACAATGAAAAACAACCAAGGAAAGTTCATTCTACTGCTGCTCCTTCTCTAAGAGAACTAACTTCTCCAGCAATATGAGGACAGGCATATTTTTTTTCTTGAGACTAGGTCTCCTTATGTCATGCAGGCTTGACGTACAGGGTCTACTCAACAGTCTGATCCCCTTATTGATCAATAAGAGGAGCTTTGACCTATTCCATTTTCAACAGAGACCAGAAGCCCCTCCTTAGTCAACCTAGTTCTCCAATCCCCATTTCTGCATTGATACTGGATTTAGTGAGGGACAGCTGATCAGCTTAGCCCACTACAGCTCAAAACTCCTGAGCTCAAGAGATCTATCAGCCTCAGCTTCTCTGGTAGGTGGGATTATAGGTATGCACCACCAAGCCCAGGCAAGCATGCTTGTTTTCAGTTTTACTTTTCTCTTTCCTGAAATTTACTACATTTCTAGCAAAATTCCAATTCTGTGTCATTGTATCTCTCAAATTCTGTATAATTATAAATTGCTTTCATAGATAATGGTTTGATTCAAAGGGCTCTTGGGGGTGGGGGGAGAGGAGGGATGGAGATCATTATTGGAGGAAGTTGAATCCATACTCCTGAGAAAGAAAAATGAATGTCAGGATCATAGATTTAGAGCTGAAAGGAACTTAGAAGGACTATCTAGTACGACTCCTTAAATTTTCAAATGAGGTGACTGAGGCCTAAAGAGGGAGAGTGACTTGTCCAAGATCACACAAGTGATAAAGACAGGATGCAACTCTAACAGCACATCCAGCATTCACCCTCCTCAGCTGTTTTTCCTTCTAATTCTGGCGTGTTTTCTAAGTCAAAGCAGAGTTCCACCTACATCTGCTCTAGGCTCAGACATTTGTCCTTCTATGCAAACTTAAAGCATCCACTTCCTGAGAGGAGGAGATTTTTTTGTATCATGTCCATCTGCCATATATTTTGCATGGAACTTTGTCTTATTTTTTTCTGTTGGAGATGAGGTGGGTCTACTTAAATGTCTACTCAGTGCTTCATCAAAAAGATACCAAAAGAAAAGGATAGACATACAGATAGAGGGAAAGAGGGAAGTGTGTGTGTGGGAGACAAAGACAGAGACAGAGACAGAAACAGAGAGACAGAGAGAC